ATTCCTGCTCTAGCAACATTTGGACTCTGTTACAACTTTTCAAATGGCAAAGGAGCTGTGGTTTCAAGATTTATTATGCTGCACTTGGCCCTTGGCAGTTTTTATGAGCATTGTGTTAGCAAAGAATGAAACGACATTTTAAAAAATATAGAGGTTTTCATTATCTTCCAGTATTTTGAGAAGGTTATTATGAGCAAAAGCTATCCCTTGTTCAACTGTACTAACTCTAGGAGCTGCCAGAGCTATGTTGTCTATTTATTCACACCAAAAAATAACTTGGATAAAGGGTGCAGTACTGAGAATTCATACACTAGTTCAATAAGAGAACTTCAAAAGCTATAGCATATAAGTTTGGATTTGTTGTTTCTTACAATTTCATCTGTTTGTTGCTTTTACAGCACTCAGATTTATCCTGGCTGCTTAGCACTACAATTTAAAGAACGTGATTTCTTTCCTAGAGAGCCAGGAGTATGTTGCACTGAGTGAATAAACAGAAATAGCAGGTGGGGAGGCAGGGGAACAGTTGCAAGAACCATGAGGTCTAGAAGACATGCTTTAATCAGATGCAAATATCACTCTTATTTTGGCACAATGATGGCTTTCTACAGCCTGCTGTATTCTGAGGATCAGATTAATCGTTCTTTCTGGCCTTAAAAACCTATGGATCAATAACAGCTCAGGCATCAGAGCAGCTTCAGCATATGCTAAGGTCTGAAAATTTCAAATACTTGTATGAAGTTTAGCTTCATAGTCCCCAGCACACAGACTAACCTTTTCATACCTGGGTGGGGGATGATCTCAAGGTTTTCTCAGAAGGATCTGCATCTTTCACAAAGTCCTGCCAGGCTGGGAGGTGCTCAGAAACCTGCCACTGAGCGGCGGCCAGCTGTGGGACAGAACGCCTGACATGGCTTTTGAAATACTCTTTCAGTTATTCTGCAGGCACAGAGCCAAAAGAATTACAAAACTTTATCATTGGCGATAACACCAATTCTAACACCAATTCTGAGGCAACCTGTGGCAAACACTATTGTTTTTCTTCTTTCCAAAATGAAACACCCATTCCCCAAAATCCTTCAATCAAGAGACATAAAAGTTGTTTCTCCTCATTGCTTTTGAAAATTGTGTTTCCATGTAGTCTTGAAATATTGCTTTGAAAATGTCAAATAGTTTTGGTTTTTTTAAAAAATGTGGTTTAGTTACTAGCCTCAAGGCATGTTAAAACACATTTTCATGGCTTCTAAGAAAAGAAACTTCAGCAGTTTACACTCGCTTTGCGAATATATAAATGACCACAGAAAGTGCAGGATGTAGAAGAATTATACATTCTAATCCTAACACTTCCACAGTATGAGGCACCTAATTCAATAGCCAAAGGGGTTGTTAAAACAAATCATAAAATAAAGATCAAAAAGAAAAGAAACTGAGAAGTTGTAGCAGAAAACATTTTGTAAACATTTCACCATACTGAAAAAAGATATGCAAGCAGCATACAAATTAAACAGCAGGTTGACAACAGAACTGCCAAAGGTAAAGACAAAACGCCAGTAGGTGCGAACTGTCCCTTGAATGGCTTTGGCCTGCAAATGATGCTAAAGTCATAGAATCATAGAATCATAGAATCGTATCAGCTGGAAGAGACCTAGACGATCATCGAGTCCAGCCTTTGTCCCAGCCCTATCAACCTACTAAACAATGTCCCCCAAAGCAACATCCATCTATCTCTTAAACACTTCCAGGGATGGTGACTCAACCACCTCCCTGGGCAGCCTGTTCCAATGGCTGACAACCCTTTCAGTAAAGAAATTCTTCCTAATATCCAACCTGAACCTCCCTTGGCTCAATTTAAATCCATTTCCCCTCGTCCTATCACTCTCCACTAGGGAAAATAGACCAACCTCTGCCTCTCCACAATCTCCCTTCAGGTGGTTGTAGAGAGCAATGAGGTCTCCCCCTAATCTCCTTTTCTTTAGGCTAAACAGCCCCAGATCCCTCAGCCCTTCCCCATACAACTTGTGTTCTAAGCCCTTTACCAGCTTGGCAGCCACCTCTGTACCCTCTCCAGCACCTCGATGTCCCTCCTGTAGAGAGGGGCCCAAAACTGGACACAGTACTCGAGGTGAGGCTTTACCAAAGCTGAGTAGAGGGGCATAATCACCTCCCTGCCCCTGCTGACAATCCATTCCTGATGCAGGCCAGGATGCTGTTGGCCTTCTTGGCCACCTGGGCACACTGCTGGCTCATGTTCAGCCGGCCATCTATTAGCATTCCCAAATCCCTCTCAGCCTGGCAGCTCTCCAGCCACTCCTCCCCAGACCTGTAGCACTGCTGGGGGTTGTTGTGGCCAAAGTGCAGGACCTGGCATTTGGCCTTATTGAATTCCATGGAGTTGGCCTTGGCCAGTGACCCAGCCTATCCAGATCCTTCTGGAGAGCCTCCCTACCCTCAAGCAGATCGACTCTTCCACCCAGCTTGGTGTCATCTGCAAACTTACTGAGGGTGCACTCCATCCCCTGGTCCAGATCATTAATAAAGATGTTAAACAGGAGTAGACCCAGTACTGAGCCCTGGGGGACACCACTCATGACTGGTAGCCAACTGGATTTAACTCCATTGACCACAACTCTTTGCACTCAGCAATCTAACTACTTTTTTACCCAGTGAAGCGTATGCCCATCCAAGCCAAGAGCAGTTAATTTCTCTAGGAGAATGCTGTGGACAACTGTACCAAATGCTTTACTAAAGTCAAGGTAGATGACATCCACAGCCTTTCCTTCATCCAGCAAGCGGGCCACCCAGTCACAGCAGGTTTGTTAAACAGGACCTGCCCTTCATGCTGGCTGGGTCTGATCACCTGGTTGTCCTGCATGTGCTGCATAATGGAACTCAGGATGACCTGCTCCATCAGCTTCCCTGGGACTGAAGTCCATCAGATTGATCAGATTCTGGATCAGTTCTCTTTCTCAATTTAAAACATAATTTTAATATGTTACTGAAAGAAAGCAGAAAGGCACAAAACTGCTGTCACAGTGCACAGAGGTTGGGCGTGGAGCAAAGAGCATGGTGACGTGGATATGTCCCTTAGAAGAGTCAATGCCAGAGCTCACACCTGAGCTTCCCACTCCAACCGTGAGCATTAGTCTTGAGCAAGCCAGTGTGAAAAACTCTTCATTTAAAGAACAATGATACCATCAGTGTCCTGTAATACCCTTTAGAATACATAAGATTTTTCTTAGGATGAATGTATGATGGCAAGTGATGCTGAATTCTACCTAACATAAGGGATGTTTAAAACTAGAATAAGTGGACACTACAAGTAATGTTTTATAAAACATAAAATGCCACTCTTGCCCAACTGAAATTGCCCGCTTCTCTTCAAATTAAGGGCACTGCTATAGAGTGCAAAAAATAAATTATGTCGTCCAAGCATAATCTTGGAAACAGACAGTTGGGCCACACTGAGGCTTGTATGTATGTAGTTTAAGTAGCTAACTCATAATGGAAAAGCTCTTTCTGTCAGAAAATATTTTGTGAAACTTAGTCTTGAAACTCCTTTTGCTAAGTTTATTCTGTTATGCTTTGGAGAAGTTCACAGTTCTCCTTTTCCTGCACAATATTTATAGACTTAATCTAACTTTCTCACTTACGCAGATGTCATCAGGATTCCCTTAAGCCCTACATTAGCAAGACCATATTTTACTGAACATGGGTAATATTTAAAAATGAGCAGGATAAGTTAATATTTGCAACTGATGTTTTATAAAGCGTAAAATTACTTTTTTAATGTTTCTCCCACACACTTTCTTATTGCACTTTGAGCTTCAAGGAGGAAAGAGGTTGTTCTTCATATGTATAATTTAAGGTGATTTTTCTATTTCACACATAACCTTGGGTATTTTGTAGGACACTAAAATATTTTGAGACCAAAGCTTCCCAGAACAAAAAAAGAAATCTGCCCCCATACGTTCCTCTCACAGTCTAACTCAGGAGGAATAATTGCTGCTGGGAATCACTGGTACTACACACATCAGACCTTTTTCCCCCCACTATTTGGCTAGAGCTACCTGGATTTTAGCCAGAAGATGCAGATTTGTGAAAAAGAGAGCCCAAGGGCTGTGTGCTCCAACTTACTGATTTTTAGAAGGCACCATTTGGTTTCTCATCAGTTTTCCCCACTTGGCAGCAGAGGAGGCCAGAAGTCAAGGGGAAGCAGTAGCCTGAACCCCCCAAGTGTTTTGGGATCCTTCAGCTCCTGTTCTTCACCAGCAGGATCAGCTCGTCGATGTCTGTTGTGGCAGATAACTGAGCACCAACCCACCATCATCTCTCCTGCCTCATGGTTAGCAGTCCACCCATACTTTAGGCATATGCTCATCAACAGGAGGTGGGTTGGGTGCCAGCATGATGCAGAGAATTGCAGATGCCCAGGCTCTCCATGACCACATTTCTTTGGGTTGGTAAAGTTGCAGCCGGAGTTACAGGCAGCTGGTTGTGCAGTTTTATTCCAATCCTTCTCTTCCCTGATATGAAATGTTTTGCAAGCCTTCTCACTTCAGCATGTACCAAAATGTTTAATTTCCATTCTAAGGAGGACATTTACCCCACCAGTACATCCAGTATGGTCTAACGTAGTTTATGTTTTAAGTAGCCTTCCACAGTCTCAGCCTTCCTCTCTTACCTGTAGCACAAAGGCTCCTTCTTTCTGTCTCTGTGTCCTCCCACTGACCACCACTTTGTAGTGCCAGGGCAAGAGCATGCAGTAGAGGAGACCTGCTGTCCTCTGCATCCCTTCATGAGCCTGTCTTGGTGGCATAGAGGAACCATCTACATCCCATGTTTCTAACTTGCTGACCCTGATCAGTGCCTTTCTCATAGCATTTCAGACTCAATGAGCATCTTTAAATAAAATACGTAAAGTACAAGCCCATAATGACATGACCTCTTATTGTGATAAAGGCATGAAATCCTCATTCTCCTCTGCAGTCCTTTCAACATCGGCTGGCCTGGCTGCAGCCCAAAATTCCCTTTCTTCTCCCACCTTCCTCCTCCTCCTTGCCTTTCCATCAGAACGGCTACGAGGGGCCCATAATGCCACGACCCCCATTAACACCATCTGTTTAACTCTGTTGCACAGAAAGACAGGCGAAAGTTCTAATCGGAGTGGCCTGGAGCCTCTCTTTCCTGTTTTCCATCCCGACTCTGATTATTTTTGGGAAACGGCAGCTCTCCAATGGGGAAGTGCAGTGCTGGGCTCTTTGGCCGGATGACTCTTACTGGATCCCCTACATGACGGTGGTGGCTTTCCTGGTGTACTTCATTCCTCTCATCATCATCAGGTAAGCCTGAAGCGCAGTCCACAAGCTCCTGGTGAAAGCCGTTAAGTGTGCAATCAGCTTAATGCTTTAATTTCTACTCATTCATTGCAGTTGCATTTCCACACTTGCCTTATAGCTGCTTCAGTTTTTCTCGTATAATGCACAGGTCGCTGTACCCACTCTGGTTACTCTCTGTGAAATAAGAATTGCCAGAGACCTTTTCCCTGAAAAAAAGGATTTCATCTCTAAGTGTATCTAATTACACACAGCTTCAGGCTTGAAATGTATCTTCAGAAATGTATGAATGTCCAGCTATTATACAAAAACGTAGTTTTAATAAAAGAACAGGAACCCACACTTAACACTAATTAAAATAAAATTAACTTAAAGTGCTCTCAAGCATCATGGTACTAGAACAGTGTTTCTTCACCAGGATTGGAAAGAAATCTCCAGGCGCCTGAAGCTGCCAACCACTCCTAAAATACGAGCAAATAAAATTCTACCTGTTTCGTAATGGGAAACCTAAGTTGCAGATATTTGGGACTCATTTGCCCAAAATCACAGAGATGATCTGCAGCAGAATCTGTTTTAAACTGAAATCAACGAATATCCCAGACTGTGCTCTGTTATCTCCCTGCTCATTAGCACCCCAGGTGAGAAGGGCTGAAATAAACTAAATAGTAAATTAGTGAAATAAGCCAAATAGGAAAGACCATGTCATGATCTATTTCCTTTCCAGATGAGTCATGCCTTGACAGTTTTTACTTTAAAAGATTAAGTTCTGCAGTTTCTAACAGCAACAGGTTTATCTCTGACAGAATGAAAACCACACAGTGCTTGAACTCATCCAGCTAACTTTTCGAAATGGATTCAACATTGACTGGTGTTGCTCCCTAGAGAAAAGGGACAAATTTATTCTTTGCTCACAACACATCAGTTTGCTAAAGCTTCCCTTTTTTTTGCGTCAGATTGCACAGATATAACAAACAAAATTTTGAAAAGTTCTCCCTAAGGGAAGGACATGATAGTAGTGGGGGAAAACTAGTCCCAGATTGTCCAATAGCACTTCCTTCCTCGACAGCATCATTTCTTTGTGTGTTTTCCTGTCTCTTAAAATCAGCCTAGTTTTAAATAAATCACAAAAATATTCTTGGGAATATACAAATGTGGATGGATCTGCAGCTCAGCACCAGCAGCAAAAAGAATAAACATACTAAGAAGAGACAAAAAATAGTTTAACTGTGAAAAGAAACGGCACTACAAAACGTTGAGACTGCCTATTACTGTGAGAGTTTTGTGACAAATTTTCTCAATCAGGTAATTTTATCCAGCATCTTAAGTGTTTTAGGAAAAAGCCCCACAGCCTGTCCACTTATCAGTCTTTCCATATGTGTGAAACATCTCTTTCACAGTCAGACATAGAGATTTGGATGCTTTCTATTACAGATTAGCCACTCCTTTTTACATGGCATACTCACTTGTGCAGCAAGAAAAAGCAAGTTACATCACAGAGCTGCTGACGTAATACTCTCCCCCTCCCTGCCAAAGGGAGACATTCAAACCAGCTCAGCTTTTTTAGAACATTTTTCAAGTTTCAAACAACCAACTGAAGGTTGCAACTTAGCAGCTGACGCATCTGTAAAAACATCTGTCAACATAACCTCATGGTGTGACATCGATTTTGTTAAAATTTCTTGTCAGTCCAGGAGTCTGAGGTTGATCCACCTGATGTGGCTGCAGCATATAAATACTCTGGTAAGCAGTTTGCAGTTAAAGAACTGCAGGAATGGCTAGTAGTGTCAGCAGGCACTTGAATTCCCTTTAAAAGCTTTGTTCCATTGATGCACATTAGGTTTGATGACAAATGAGATGCTGTTTCATAAGGGTTCATAAAAGTTTAATTATAAAATTTAAAGGTGTTACTTATTAAATGAAGGAAGGCATTTTGTGATTTTTTTTTCAATTTAATGGCCTTTAGGTGAAGATGTTGTTAAAACAAAGGCCACAACATAATGATGGAGTGATCATCCATAAATATGTGACTGAAAAGTCAAGGATTGCTATCTAAGAAGCCAGGAGCACGAAAAAAACAGGAGCCACCCTTGCTGAGGAAGTGAGGCAGGGTGTGCACAGAGAAAGATCTTTTCTGCAATAATTCATTTTGTTTGCACAGCTACTTTATTTTCTCTGCTGAAGCACTCCAGTTTAGCTGCGTGGCAGGTGCCTGACGCAATGTGGGACACTGGCTGGCGGAGTTAATTCTTAATTAGTTCTGCTGCCTGAATCTGCTGAAAACCTAACCTCCAGAGCAAAGCAGCTTCGCTGATGAGAGCACTTTTTCTGGCACATTTCATCTGAAGTGCATACAAAGGCTAAAATTTTACTTTTCAGGTGCAGGACTTAATTCCACACTAGATATATCACTTTGGCTGAGCGGTTTTCACTTGCTACAGTCCAGATACCATCATCTTTTAATCTTCTCTCATCCATCTCACAGCACTCTCGGCAGAGCTGATTTCACATGTTCCAGACGCAGCCTTCAACTAACTCACAGGAGTTTTGTTATTCATAACACTGCAGCCCATGGAATGAATTATTTAGCTGATAACCTCATGCTCAGCCTGGAAAAACCTTTCTCGGACGAGCTCATCCCCCAGATATAGTGTGAGTAAACCCTATAGACTCCAAGCCAAACATGAACCAGAGGAAAACAACAATCTGTCCCTTTTTCTTTTTTTTTTCTTTCTTTTTTTTTTAAATAAAAAAGCAGTCTATGATCAAACCTACAACTCCGGAATTGGAGTACTCAGGAGGTCTGTTCCCATCCTTTCTTCCCAACTGGAGAATCAGTCATCAGTTATCAAATATCTTGTAGTTTTGTGCAGAGTGGTTTTTTAATCTGATTATAACACAAATGAGCAAGACCTGAATCATGAGAAAGAAAATAAAAAGCTGTGATTAGATTTTAAATCCAAGTGTGTGGTTATCTTTGAGAGCTGGAAAAAGGGACAATATTTGTTCCTTTCACGAAAAAGCTCCACTCCTCCCCAATGTCTTAGTGATGGACAGGGAGAGCCACAGATCCTGCATAAGGCTCTTCTTTACAACACTTAAAAATTTGGCCTGTTCTTCCTTCTTATTTAGACAAATCTACCACTTCTTTTCTTTCTTTTTTTTTTTTTCTCCTGCAATTGATATTGCCACCTTACTAAAACTCCAGAAAATTCAGAAAACTGAATTATCTGCAGTAATTAGATCTCTTCTACTCTTGGACGATTGTCACCAGCTACAACCAAAGCCTTTTCTCCTACACTAAGCAAAGTTCGAACTGTATCCATGATACCTAAATCCCTCCAGGGCATTGCTGGACAGAGGTTAAATATTGGTTAAATCAAGATTATAGACCTCTTTCTTGCAAATATTTGCATCTGACTGCCTCAGATCCTGTGATGGGGAGACAGGAAAGGTACTGAGTTTCTGTTCTGTATTTCTACGCTGTGTGAAACTCCATTCTGGCAGTTGAGTATCCAGAAATTCAGAGTCTTTTTAGCTGTTCTTCATGACTGATAAATATATTTTCTATATTGTAATCTGATCCATGTAATACATAGACATTTGTCTAATATAATTCCAAATTCAGTTTAAAAAAAAAAAAAACTTGCAGAAATTCCTCTTGAAGCACAGAGGAAAAAATATCCATCTGCTGTTTAAAATCAAAACTCCAAAGAGAACATTTGCTTTGCAGCAGGAGAAAAATAATTAGAAGGGAAAAATCAGAATCAGCAAAAAGGAAAAACATGGAACTAAAATGAGGGCATTGCAATGAAATACAAAATAGATTAAATAAAAGGTATTTTTCTGAATTAAATCAAATAAAGGGAATAGAAATAGCATTAATAGAAATACTAAAAGTCATTTTTTGAGCTTGATTCAACAAGCACTACCATTTTCACCTGCAACTTCCATTTCTAAATGAAAAAGCCTCACTCTTGCACATATGTTCTAATCTCTGCCTGTCTATTCCCTTACCCATTACACATGCGTACAATGGTTTGTTCAGACGAAGTTACATATGCCTTTTGTCTTTGGATAAATAGTGCTGCAAATTAGCCACCATAAAACCTAACGCAGCTGCATCACTTTGTACAAATAAAGCATGAGGAACAATAGACAATGCAGGATGACAAATACAAGCAGTTAGCGGGGAGCTTACATGTACATTTTTGCCCTTGTAAAGGCTCATTTTACTAATGAATACCGAGGCTGGGATGCTATCATACTGCATTAAAAAAAAATAAATCTGTGTTTAAACATGGGAAGATCAATAACTCACGATTGTTAATATCGATGTATAGGTTTACCAGAACACACTTTATTTTCCAATATGAAAGTAATCTAAGAATTAAAAATAAATATGGAGCAGGAGTACTCACAGTAGCATTTGTATGAATAACTCTAAGTCAGTTATTTACATGGACAAAGAATGCTGTAATTACCAATGGGGTCAAATTAAACAACACCATTAGCTAATAACATGCTACAGTGAACATGCATCCTAGTCCTTCAGAATTTGCATCAAGTTAAATTGCTTTTGGAGATGCAATGAATTTAATTTGCTGAGTTATATCCACAGCCTGAACCATCTTGCATCTTATCAGGGCTAGAAAATTCACTGTATTTTCAGATCAACTGCCTGCTCTTTCCACCCTGTGGTCTGAGCAGCCTGAGCAGCTCCTTCTCAGAAAGGCTTAGATTATTTTTCCATCCAGGTTTGACTGCCCCACCTGAGCTCTCTTTTCATTTTCTTTAGTCTCTTACCTGCAAATAATGGGCCACCACTACTCTTAATATTTTAATACCACAGTATAGATGAAAATAACTACTAGCCCCCAAGAATCCTGAGTGAGGGTTGGAAGATCAGTGCACTGCACACTCACAGAGGAACCTGGCAACATCTGGACCTAATGAACTATCCATCGTATCTCCCAGTGTTTTCAGTGGAGACAAGAGGAAGCAGTCATGTTTCACGTGTTAGAAAATGAAGTTTGTGGCAATGATAGGCTTGCCAAGCTCTTACATCTTGGCCATGAAGGCTGAGTCAAGAGGAATGAACCAGATTATGATATGGTGAGAATGGTGCAGGCTGTTGCCAAATACCCTCCTGTCCATCTGAATACCAATTGTTGTCTGTCCTGCTCTACTCTGCCAATCTGCCACTTCATTTTCCACCAAGTGGGAATTTCCTCCCACCCTTTGAGCTGTCCCCAACCTCCATGTCCTCCTCCAGCCACCTTTTACAGAAAGAAAGAAGCTACAAATGCATTCTGAAAAAAAAAATCTTCTTTTCCCTCATAAGCAAAATACAGCTACTGTTCCATAAGTGCTCTCTTTTAATTTTTATGGCTTCAAATCACACACGCAGATGCCTTTTACAATCTTAAGCTTTGGATGACTGGAAACTCCAGTTTGTTAGCTCCATGCCAGCATAACTGGGGTAAAAAAAAAGGACAAAAAAGGAAAAGGAAAAAAGAAAAAAAAAGAAAAAAAAGAAAAAAAGTGAAAAGGGAAAAGGAAAAAGGAAAAAAAAGAAATACCAGTCACTAATAAGATCTGAAGTCCCAGAGAGATCAAACCATAAAGGCATAATTGTTGTCGGTAAAACGGTTGCTGGGAAGTGTACCTAGCGTGACAAGTGACTCCTCTTTCCTGACACTCACCCTGAGCAGGTTTGCACCACCTCTGGTCCAAGCCATAGAGAAAACGATCCACCTATAGAGAAAAGAAAATCCACTATACTGACAGCACTTGAGAAGCCACTGGATTAAACCAGCAATTAAACTTTACCTTGGACTTCTGAAAATTCAAAGGAAACATATGTGTACCTCACCCATGAAACACCAAGCAAAGATGACAGCTGCTGTAACTGCAGCTAGTAAAAGAGATGTTCCTACCAGACTCTGCAGCCAAGAGGGCAGGATTTCTGAGGTTGGAGGGAAAGCAATGAGGAGCCTGACTTTATAATTTGATCCTGGTGGCACATGGCTGGAAGTCAGGAATCTGAGTATTTTGATGATGGAGTTAGGTTCCTTCATCCTGATCCTTGGCAACTCTGAATGTGTCCTGCTGGGCACATGAAGGTCTGCGTCAGCGAGGATATCGTTTCAACTGCAAATAGACAGGTCAGGCTAGAAAGAGCAGGCTCAGGAGAAAACACAAAAAGGACTTTTAGGAGCTGCGGAGATTTTCTTGAGATGACAACAATTATCATTATAATATATTCTTATTCACTGAAGCAATCAAAGGAGAAACATGAATTTTCTCCCATTGGCAGTACAAAGTACAAAGGAACTCTCAAGCTTATCAGCTGATAAAAAAACAGGTTCTTGAAAAGTCAGGAGATAAGAGGAAAATGCTCAAGTCAGCTGGGAGCCGTGCTGGATCTTTGAAGGGATTATGGAGGGCAAGCTGGAGAATGTAAAACCCTCACTGGGCAAGTGGGGCTCTGCTGCACAGCTCAGATTGCATGTTGGATTTCCAGCTCTCACTCATTGAGTCTGGAAACCAGAGGGCTCAAAATTCCACAGAAAGGAAGCCTCCAAGGCATACAAATACTGCCTTTGCAAGCCTGTCTAGGAATTAAGGGTGCTGTAGGAGAGGCTTATATACCGGTCTGAAAGCTCTAATAAGAGTAACACCTCTTCTGATAATAAAAATAAACTGCGTGACGGTAAGACATATTTTTGTCTCTATAAAACAGCCTGAAACAAACTCACTAGCTGTGCTTTTTTCATAGAGTTACCATTCAGGTTTATATAGCAATTAGTGGTCAGGGTGCTCCAGGCCCTCCAAAACAGCGTGCAAACAGCACATGACAACTTCTGTTATGATGCTTGGGTTTTTCATCAGGAAAACATATCAACCCAAGTGCATTGGCTGAAATATTCTTACTATTTTTGTCTTCCATAGGAGACTGAAAGGGTAAAAACCTGTCAAAAGCATGCTTTTGCTTAGTGATTTTAGCTCCACGTTATGCACGCTTGCAGGAAAAAAGGCAGACAGAGCAAGGCTTCGTATTTTTTTCAAGTAAAGTTCTGAAAAGCTAACATCCACATCCAGGATGTGAGTTCAAAGAGCTCTTCAGCTTGAAGGAATTATTTTTACCCATTCTATATAAAATAAATACAATTCTGGATTTGTTATCACCTATGGAAATGTCATAACTGCAAGGTCATTTTAGAGTAGGGCACTTTTCATCTCTCTCATTAAAAGTATATGCATAATTCCCTCTAAACACACAAATTGTGGTGGATCTGGTCTTGAATCATATAACTCTTCCCATCTACCAAACACTTCTGCCCTCCTCAATTTCAGTCCCAGGATCTTGAGCCCCAAAAGTGAGAACCACAGTATTTTATTGCATTTCTCATGGATCTCACCCCTGTCAATGTCTCTACAGTACCATTTTGTTTTTTCACTTCATACTCATGATGTAACACCAAACCAGAAGCATACACACAGACAAAACAGCTCAGAACCCTTGCTTCCCCCATTTCAGGGCTAGTGTCCTGGGACTGGTACCCAGGCAGATTTGGTCTTGGCTACCTCAAAACTGCCAACAATCTCTTGCTTGTGAGATCTTGATCAAATGGTTGCATTCCTCTCAGCCTCAGATTTGACGTCTGCAAAGCCAGGACAACAACAACTTCCACGATGAAAACTCTTCAGATCTCTTTCTAAAAAGTACTATGAGAGAGTTATATTTTTGTTATTATTGTTTTCATTATTGTCATTATTTTTGTCATTATTATTATTGTTGTTATTCCTGTGCAGTTCCATTATCTCTATGAGCTCTTTACACATAGGTAGGTGTATTCACAGAGCACTGCTGATGGGATGTCAGTTAAATTTACCATCCCTCATAATACCAATGACTCTTTCCTTTCCGTAGTGTCATATACTCAATTGTGATCCGAACCATCTGGATGAAGAGCAAAGCTCAGGCTGTCATCATGTCCAGGTGCCCTGGTGAGTTTCACCATATGTGTCTCCAGCCTCATGATACGAATCCTGCCCATCCCCCCAAATATGGGACTGCCTGGCTATGTTGCGTTCCACTGGACTCCAATCGCTGTGGTGGGAAGGGTGTTTCTGTAATTGCTCATTCCTAACTCTTTTCTACATTATTTATCTTCTTTCCTTTGACAATATATCCCATTTAGAAAAAATGATGGAAAAGATCTGTGAAAAATAATTAAAAAGTAAAAAAAATCCTTATTTTAGAACTTAGAATCCCTATTCCTAGAAGGTTGCCCATTTCCAGAATAATTTTTTCTAGTATATACTTATATAACACTTTTGCTGTGTTTACACATGGCCTTGCAACTCTGGATTTTGGTCAAGATCAGAAATTCCTGGCTATGGAAAGCCATAAAATGAACTGAGCTTTCCACCCCAAGATTATAAACATTTTGGGACTGTTCTGAGCTATTTTAGCTAAGAGCACAAATCATTTCAGGCTCTTTCCTTGTCAGCTGCTTTTCTATGAGTTATGAAGAAAAGAACATTCATTTACGCCAATATGTTTTACAACCCAACTGTAAGAGCACACAACAAGTTGGTGCAGCTAAGTGATGAGTGGAAACACACCAAACTGTGGGGGCTGCATTTCTGGAACGTGTCTGAAGCAGGATCATGTCTGGTATGGAAGGAAGTGTTCTAATGTGATGTTGCACACATTCAGATATCCTTATGTCACAGCCTGACATCTGTCAACTATAATCACAGAATCACAGAATGTTAGGTGTTGGAAGGGACCTCTGAAGATCATCTAGTCCAACCTTCATCCCAGCATACCTAACCACTACACCATGGCCTCAAGTGCTAGATCTACTTTTTTTCTAAACACCTCCAGGGTTGGTGACTCCACCACCTCCCTGGGCAGCCTGTTCCAGTGCCTCACCACTCGCTCAGTAAAGAACTTCCCCCGAATATCCAATCTAAACTTACCCTGACGCAACTTGAGGCCAATCTAAGATTCAGTCCTCCTTTGAAAACTTGAGAAGGACTGACTTCTAATGATCTTGTCCCCTTGACACAATCCGTATTAACTAGTCCTAAAAATAAAAAAGTCACTGCTCTCATTCAAGAGGTATATTCTGGTTTGTAAATCAATAAGTGATTTCCGGTAATATTTAGTATGGACTAGTTTCAAGCTTTTAGGTGAGATGTTTGACTGATAACAAGCTCACATTAATTTTATTTATGGGGTTTTTTCCTTACAAATTACACAGCATTGATATGCTGTTTTTATAAGAGGTGCAAAAAGTCAGGTACACAGAGCTATTTCCAGCTACATTAATTAAAATTCCAGCCCTAAGTTTGGACTGCAAGAGTTTAAAGATGTTTTGATGAAAAACGACCTTCTTGTGTATTCACTATGGTGAACCTAATTATTCTGACCCAGCAACATGAACAGCAAATTGACATTAATAATGAAATCAGGCATATTACTACAATCATGCTGGTACTGTTATTCAAATATTCTCAGAGACATTAGTGTGATTTCAGAGGAAATGAGATCAACCAGCCTTGGTATGAGACTGAATAGGATTTGCTTCTCAATTCAAGCCACACTTCATCTCTGAAAATTCAGTCTAACAGCATTTCATATTTCATTACTGAGTCAACAGGGAGAGTAAAATGCATGACTGATTATCCAAAGCATCAAAAAGAGTAAGAGATTAAGGGAACGGAGTATGTAGCTTTGAAAATCCTTCAGATTGAAAAGCAGTTTGAAGTGAGCACGTAGTCTGTTTTGCCAGGTTGTTTCTTCTCTTTTCTTCATTATAGCTGCCAGTTCCTTTCAGAAGATGCCTCCTTTAACTGGTTGGCTTTTGTAGCTGTGATGGTTTTTATTAGCTTGATACAGCTGGGCACACAGGTAGTGGTTTTCCCAACTAAGTGCTCAGGGCCAGGAATACCTAACTGCCACAACCTTCCAGGAAGATATCTCCTGATTGTATTTCCTCTGTTGATTTTGGGTGGGTCAGGATTTGAGTGTCAAGCTAGCTGGAACCGTTGAGCCCCTCCCTGACATGAGGGATGTACGGGCACCAGCGCTGCTCTTCTACTACCTGAATTGTTCCTTCCCCAGGTGGCAAAACCTCAGCTGGCTACACGAGTCATGGGTTCATATCCAGAGCGAAAGTGAAAGCAATCAAGTACAGCGTCGTAATTATTCTGGGTAAGTGAGAAGCCCCATAGCTAGGGAGGATGCTGATATTAGGAAGCTGGTCTTCCTCAGCTCCCTCCATCATCAACAGATAAAGCATGGCAGATGGCTCAGAGAAGGAGTTTTACTTAGACCCCTGACTTGCCTTCTGATGTTGTCCTTTCCCTCTCCTCTGGCTGATAAACTCCTATTTTAGGCATCTGACACAAGTCTCAGATGAATCATAGAATCGTTTAGGCTGGAAAAAACCTTTAAGATCATCAAGTCCAATCATTAATGCAGCACTGCTTAGTGCACCACTAAAGCATATCCCTGAGCACCACATCTACACAGCTTTTAAATGCCTCCAGGGATAGTGACTCAGCCACTTTCCTGGGCAGCCTGTTCTGAATTGTATGCACAGCCCCTCACTTACGTAAAAAAAATAACGTGGGAGGCATTGGTTAGAAAGAACAAAGGAAGGTCACCTCCTTCCCATCCAGGCCGCCAGAAGACTTGGCAACAGAGTTGTCTTTTAGGCTTAGAGACCACCTATGTCATGTGAGGTGCTGAGGTGTTGCAAGTTAGAGGAAGAAGAGAGGGATGCAGAGCAATTGAATTTGATGGCAGAAGCCTCCTGCCTGCCGAGGTGGGAAGAATGAGTTCTCCTTTCCCGACGGGGCAGCAGATGACTCAGTGGAGGTGTCCTCTGTCTCCCAGGGAGATTACATTATCCTGATGGAATTAGGAGGCTGACACGCTATCTCAATAAATAAAGGCAGCGTCACACAGGGCTTGTGATGAGCTGCCAGGGATAAGCAGGAAGGCGACCAAAGTTATTTGCTCTCAAGGGCTGACAGCCATTCCCTACCACTGAAAAAGAGATCACTCCTTTTTCCAAAGCCACATACAATTTGGATAGGATGAAATTGTGATAATAGCTCCTGCTGAGGGCTGTAGCTCACTGTTTAGTGGTAGAATCTGCAGACATAAGAGAAGCCAGCGTGATTCACACTCTTCAGAAGCCCAAATCAGCTTTGCTGCGTCTCAACTTTTCTGTGTGGCACTTGGAGAAAGCTTTTGTCAGAAACAACTACTACTGCAATGCCATTAGATGTCAAGAGACCACCTGGCTGCTCAGTATTTCAAAGAACCTTGATAGTATGATCTACAGCTTGGTTGAGTGAACTGCTTGTCCCATGTAAATCTTGACTCAAAAGCCTTTTGTGAAAGAAGATGACACAGAAATTTTGCTAGGGATACATTCATTCCCTATGCCTGCAGATGAAGGTAGATCTGTGGCCTTTTGATTTCTACCACCTCTGAATAAAAGCAAGGGGTAGGGAGAACACAGTCCTCTCTTCCCTTCTCCAAATTCATCCCTCAAATCACAGTAGGGGGAATCAGAGAGCCTTCTTGTGTGCTCCCCATGCACAGCATCCCCAGCCAACAGGCCGAATGACATGTTGGTCTGCTGTCATGTTATGTGGAAGGGTGTCGTTCTTTACTCCTGGGTGTCTAAAAGCCCTTTTTTTATCAGGTGGCCATGCCAGGCAGCACTGTCACGGAGAGGCAGGTTGGTGGTGTGGATGTTTAGATTGGCTGCTCACTCAGGGAACCATTAGAAGAGCACTTCACTATAACTGATGATGCTTTAACTGGCTACCTATTTACCCTCTATGTGTTGTGCAGTGTTCAAGAGTGCCTCAATATGTCTAGAGGGAGCACTCTAAACACTTAGAGTAGCACACATAATCTATTTTATGGGCATTAAAATAAAAATAAAGCGAAATAAAAGCACAACCTAATAACAATTCTCTTAAACAAAATGCTGAATAGGGAGAGATTTGTTTTTGCATGAGCAAATATTTATGTGTTATGACAGTGTCTCTGTGTGCATGCGATTACCTCCCTAAATATCTGAATTAGCCAATGTCAAGCTCTTCCTGTCTCTGTCTCCCTTCCAGCATTTGTTCTCTGTTGGAGCCCTTACTTTCTTTTTGATATCCTGGACAACTTCAACATACTCCCTGAGACCAAAGAGCGCTTCTACGCGTCTGTGATCATTCAGAACCTGCCAGCCTTGAACAGTGCCATCAACCCCCTCATCTACTGCCTCTTCAGCAACCGCCTCTGCCCCCCTTTTGAGTATTGCTCCTTTTACTGTCGCTCTGACTACCTCTAAAAAGAAAGGAAACATGTAGATAAACTCCCTAAACCAACCATCTATTTTAATTC